TCTCTGTGAGTTCAAGGCCAGCCTAGTCTACATAGTGAGTTCCAGGCCAGCTGGGGCTACAGGAAGATCCTGTTTCAAAAAGACCAAAAAATAAATAAAAATAATTTTTTTTAATTATACAGTATTGGGTAGTTTTTCATAGCACCAAACCATTGACTACAATATAGCAGACAGGCAGATGCCACTCTAGCCCTAGAACTAGGACAGGGGCAACACACAGGGAAGGTCTCCATAAAAGCTGCTTAGATGTACTGAAGGTGTTATCCCACTTCTTTGGGGTCTGTGAACAAGACCTTTTTAAAAATATGAAACACAGGGGCTGGAGGGATGGCTCAGCGGCAGAGCACTGACTGCTGGTTCAGTTCCCAGCACCCACATGGCAGCTAACAACCGTCCATAATTCAAATTACAGGGGATCCAACATTCTTCTGATCTCTGTGGACACTGCATGACACGGGTGCAGTTACGCACATGCAGACAATACATTCATACACATAAAATAAATAAAGATTAGGAAAAGAATGTTATTTTATCTGGGCACAATGGCACATGCCTTTAATCCCAGCACTCAGGAGGCAGAGGCAGGAGGATCTCTGTGAGTTCAAGGCCAGCCTGCTCTACATCGAGTTCCAGGTCAGCTGGGGCTACCAGGAGACCCTGTGTCAAAAAAGACAAAAATAAAATTTTAAAACATGAAACACGGGCTGGAGAGATAGGGTAGTTAAGAGCATGTACTGTTTTTCCAGAGTACCCAAGTTCAATTCCCAGCACCTGTGTGAGGTGCCTAACAACCACCTGTAATTCCAACTCCAAAAGATCCAACAGCTCTGACCTCCGTGGGCTCCAGTACTGGTACACATACATATGCACATGATCAGAAATAAATCTTTAAAATAAATAGAAATATAAAAAAGCAGTTTCTTCCTGTATAGCCTGGACTGACCCTCAATTCTCCTGCCTCCACGTCCCTGTTCTTATTGTGTGTTTATGTGATTTGGCTGATATTCTTTTTGGTCTTTTTGAAACAGGGTCTCCCTGCAGCCCCAGCTGTCCTGGAACTCACTATGTAGACCAGGCTGGCCTTGAACTCACAGAGCTCCACCTGCCTCTGCCTCCCAAGTGCTGGGACTGCAGGCCTGTGCCACCACGCCTGGCTTGATACTCATCTTTAAAAGTAAAGGTTATTCATGTTTTGATAAGTAAATGGCAAAGAGTTAATTGCTGCAGGCCTTGGCCTGTCACTCTGTCTACATCAACAGTGACAGAATAAGTTTTGCTGAATGAAGCCTGAGAGAGGGGAGTGCACAAGCTTTCTGATTATGATTGGATCCCTTTAGCAAACAGGAATCTCACCCGGTAACTGTTTCGGCGATGAGGTACCAAGTGCTGAGATCCATTTGTCACCATGTCCTCTGGTCTGTGATCATTTCTCTGTTTTTATGACCTTGCAAGTTTGAGGAGTGCTGAGGTACTGTACACAGACAGCCCAGGCTGAGGTCTTTGTTCTTTCTTTGCAGTGATGGGGATGAGAACAAAGCTTTTGTAGGTAAGTGAGGGTCTACCATTGAGTGACACCTATAGCACTCCACGGAATTCTTCTGTTTTCCTCACCATAGTCTAGTGTTTGGCTTTGCATAGCTCTCACCATGGTAACCACCTCATGGCATCCTATCAAAGCAGACGTGATGCAGACACATCCCATTGCCATAGTCTCCGAACAGCTGTGTCTCGGATAGAGGGACTAGAGGCCGCGGCAATGGGGGTCAAGGAAGGGGAAGTGCGCTGCCCGCCCGTTTCACCAGCCCTTTTTTCTGAGGACAATCAGACGCGGCAGGGAGTTGCTTCAAGCAGGAAAACTCATTTATTGGCAAGGCTGATCAATATTTAAGGGCAAAAGTCGCAAGCTTTAGCATAGGCGGGAAAGCCGTCACTCAATCAGCTTAGAGGTCAGGTATGTCACGCAGGCTCTTTTCATAGTATAACATATTGTTTATGAGGTGATCACACGTCCTTTACTGGCTAGGCTCCAATTAGTATTACTTTTTTTTTGTGGCGCCCCAAGCTGGCCAGCTGGCTCCGCCTTCACCTCAGCTGTTCGGAGCCATCTTGTTGCCGCACCTCCACATCCCATCACTGCTCATCTCTGGTCAACCTACGAGTATCCTGCTCACCAGGTTTCTTTGGCGTTTTCCCATCATCTGACATTTTTCTTCTTTGTCTTGTTTTCCTCACAGAGTGTGGTGCTGGGTCTTCTGTAGCTCAGCCCGTGGGAAGCACTTTGCAGCATCCACATCAGAGGGCATGTGAAGCAGACCACTCATCACTGCTCACTTCACCTGTGAATATTTTTGCCAGGTTTCCTACTATTTTCCCATTCCCAACGTTTTTCTACGTGCGTACGTGTGTTATGTGTTCCTTTGTACATGT